CATTATAAAACTGCCTCTCAAATCCAAGGGAATAAGATGGGTCAGCTCAGCTGGTGTAGTAAAGAATTGGCTTCTGACATTCTATGACCTACTGTGACTGTTATAAAGTGGGTACCTGAAATTCTCACTGGTTTTACTTAAGAGAAAGACTAAATGCCCTGTAATGTATTTATGAAAATATAAACTTTCTGAATTTCCATTACAGTGACTCGTTTATATTTCAAATTCCCAAACCCTCTATAAAGAGAACAAGAGACAAAAGGTCCTAATGGACCCAGACTGTCAAAGAGTGGAACTCACAGCAGGTCCGGTGGGGCCGGTGCTGCCGTCGCTTCCCCGAGCGCCCTGTGAGGAGAGAACACGATGCAGTTTGAGGAGAGATTCAAAGGCTCGAGAAGCCACAGTCAGTGGCCGGTCACGATGACAAACAGACAGGTGGGAAGCCACTTACAGCTGGTCCAGGGGCACCTACTCTTCCTCTCTCACCAGGGAGACCACGAGCACCCTGAAAGAAAAATTAACTCGTTTATGCCTAGTCATTGAACAAAGATATGCAGATATATTTTTTTTTCTCCTGCTGAGTCTCTATATGAAATGTGTTGCAGCCAGACAATTCTGTTCTAAACATTCACATCCTATTACATTAGAGCATTGGGCTAGCTGGGGTGATGACCCAAACTGACCCAAATGCTGGCTGAACCCTATCTGTCACATTCCCATTTCCCACAGCACGGAGTAAATACTCACAGGTTGTCCGGGGGTACCATTTTCACCAGGGGCACCGGGTTCTCCCTGTGAAAAAGAAAGTTTGGAGGCTTGAGTTAGTCACAGGATGCTTTGGACAGATGGCACAACAGCCTCTAGACAGAGATTCAACTCCTGGATCCTACTGCCCTGCAGCACTGACAGCCCAACACACAGTCACAGCACACCATGGCATCCCGAGGGTGACCGTCCCTAGGGATGCTGGAGCGTGGCCAAGCAGAACCCTCTTAGAAGAGGAGGGCCAGAGCAAGCTGCTTCACTGTCTCAGCTTTCTTTACCCCCTTGCTTTATTCTGCTATTTCCTCTGTAGCACACACCTAAGAGACAGGGCACGGATCTACCCCTGGTGTTTTTAACTCCAGCCCAATAAAACTGAGCTGAGTGACAGACGTTAAAAGGTGACCCCTCTCCCTTCAGCATTCAGGGTTCTCATGAGGCTGCAGGAGGTCTAGGCTGGTCTACAGAGAGCCAGTTCATCCTAGAGCAGTGATATCCTCAGTACATCTGTACACACCGTGCCCGAAATGCTGCAAACAGCATGAGTTTTTGCCTCCATCACTGCCTTTAGCACAGTTCTACCATGACTGACCTTCATTTATTATGTTTGTATTTTCCAGTCAGACCAGCACTCTTCCTAATAACTGTTCTTTCCTTCCCTTAATGGCTTTATCTCCAGCTTTTAATCTCCAAAAGCTGGACAGATTGTTTGTTCTCTCTCATCACCAAACTTTTTCTGGAGATTAACAACTTGCAGTGATTCTGGGGAATGATGCTGTTACAATTAATAACTATGAGCAAATAGTGCTAATCTCCTAGAAACAAGCAATAGGGAGAATTAGTATCTGAGCTTTTTGTTGTTTTATCTAAAGCTCTTGAATGCACATCTCCTGTGAGGAAGGCAGCAGCCTTAAAGTCTCCCACAGCTCAGCACTGCAGCAGGGGTGTTTAAGAACCCCGCAATTAGGCACTGAGGTGGAATGGAAGAAGAAACTAAGAGAGGGAGAGTTCGCTAAATATGTTTCTAGACCATGTTTAAAAACATCTTTTTAAGGATAGTGTTTAAATGTGCACTGATCTGAGGAAGGTGAAAAAGAAAAAAAAAAAA